GCGAGCGTGCGGAGAGCGAGTTGCACCGCGCGTCTACGTTTCCGCTAGTTGTAAAATTTTAACTCGCCACCGTGCGTTTGTAAAACATACGGCTACACGAACACGTTTAAGCACCTTTTCCTTTTTGGGTATATCCGGGGCGCAGAAATGCTCCGGCAGAATAAATAAAACGTCGAATAGAAATCGTGAGGTGCATTGTGAGTTTATTAATCGATATGGCAACACACATACATACAGACAACGACAACTGCTACCCTCTGGAGATTATATTTTTCATAGAATATCATGTTGAACTGTTGTTTTATTATCATTCTTATTTTTACGATGAGACGTGCAAACGTTTCTTATTTTAGAATTTATTGCGCACCAGGTATCTAGGTATCTAGTAGGGGTATATCATATTTTACTCTGTGTTCCTCCCCTATATATGCTTATAAAATATAATAGTTATAATACGCGTTCTCTCTATGCAGCCGCACGTACTTACAACTATGTGGTCCGATTATGTGACGCGCTACGCAGATGCATACACGTACGCGCACGTACACTTGTGACTAATGCAAATACAAAACCGCCGTTCTCTGGTGACCCACTGCAATATTATGCATTACCATTCGAAAGCCGCAAACGGTTACCTTATCTCCCGTTGAAGCGAGAAGCGGCGTTATATTATCTCTGGCGGACGCAGTACAAGCCAGATCTCTGACCATCTTGAAAGAACGATCTTTGCACTGTATACATTGTATAAATTTATCCACCGGAAGTACTGCTTTTTTTCACGTAAAAATTAGTAAAATTTTTAGTTTTTCTCATTTTTGAGGAAAACAGCTGCGTGGGCTTTGAATTTTTTACATCTCCCTCTACTCCTCTTTACGAATCTCTACCATATAGTAGAAGGAACATACAGTATTTATAAAAATGATATTTTGAGAAAAAGAAATCTAAACACTCGCGCTCGTTAAAAGGGCCATTATGGAGCAGATAGAAGATAGAATTATGTAAATAATATATTGCACGTTTTGTGTACATATCCTTTCCAACATGTATTCTCATTCATCTATTTTTTACTCGCACGCGTATACATACGGCGCCATCAAGGCGACTGCCCTTTGAGTCCTTTGAGCCTTTCGCCGAGAGAGAGAAATAGAGAGAGGGTGAGTTCGTGGCATAGAGTTTCGCAAATTGTTCATCCCGCCGCGCCGCGCAAAAGTTTCAACGGGTCCGTTTCTCAGGAGCTTTGACGTGCATTATGCGTTATCGTGCGCGTCGTGGCTCTCGATGAATATTCTCTACTCCAGTCGTCAGTTGACAGTTGTCGATGTTGCATGTATACGGTAGTTCGGAAGGCCGCGTTCGAAATTTCAGAGGGTGACAAGTTTTATTGCAAGAGCACGAGGTCCGCACGTTCTGTCCGCTTTTATAGCTAGGCGTATGTAATATCGTCGCCGCGTGCACGGATATACGTACATATACGTACGGTACATGCATATAGTATATATGCATAAATGCCGGGATAGCCGTGGTGCACATACATTATTCGATAATCGTCGCGATGACAAAAGTTTCGCGTACAAACAGTCGTGCGCATTCGCGAATGGTATCAGGGCACGTGTAAGTTCAGCAAACATCATTACGCCCGCCGAGTAACGAATGTGAGACCGCGGGGTTTGTTAATTAAGAAGATACGTCAGCCCGTCCGTGTTGTTTAATGCAATCTGTTCCCCGGGAAACCCTCGACAAACAGTCGGTCGTCCTCTTTCCGAGAGAGGTTCCGCGCGCGAGAGGCGCACTTTAGCCGCAAGGATGTGAGATCTGCGCGCGAAACTGGAAGGAATTTATTATCTGTCCAATTAAGACGGATAATTATGCACGGTGTCCGTCGCGCCAAGCGCAAGCTTGTTAGTCATATAATCTATTTGCGAATGTCATATATACTTGTTGAACTGTCAGAACCGGAGATCAGATTTACGTCATTTCTCTCTCGAATCTTATTATTTTAAAAATGTGCGAAACCATAATTATGCGAGATTTTTCTTCAATTTCGAGTTTCTCTTTCCGTCATTGTTGCATCTTGATGGAATTTCCGTACTCGTTAAACTTGTATCATCCTCGTGTACAAATTACACACATCCTGCGTATAAATTATTTCTGACATGATCATACGTTTCAAAGGTCGATTTTGAAAGTTCAGTCATTTATTAAATAATTAATATTTTTTTATAGCTGAAAAAATACGACCTGGATCGATATTTGTTATGTTGCTCTGTCATATATATTTGTTGAACTGTTAGAACCGGAGATCAGATTTACGTCATTTCTCTCTCGAATCTTATCATTTTAAAAATGTGCGAAACCATAATTATGCGAGGTTTTTCTTCAATTTCGAGTTCTCTTTCCGTCATTGTTGCATCTTGATGGAATTTCCGTACTCGTTAAACTTGTATCATCCTCGTTTACAGCGCGCATAAATTATTTCTGACACGATCATATATATTTCAAAGGTCGATTTTCAAAGCTTATTATACATTTATTAAATAATAATAAATATTTTTTTACAGCTGAAAAATACGACCTGGATCGATATTCGTTATATATATTATAGTTTCGTTATGTTGCGTAAGTGCTCTGTCACGTCGCTCGTGTCAATATCGCGTTAGATGCTTTCAGGACAATTGTAACTGAGCCTGAGGAAGGGAATCGAACGGGGGTTATGAATGCGAGCTCGTCCCGTCGATCGCGACGTATATGTTTTGGCAGTGTCAGCACACTGTAGCAACGTGACGAATTGTGTGCATCCACTGCGACATGCACTGCGGAGACAATCCCGGGACGTCGCGGCGCCTGTCACACGCATGTCGCGTCATCGTTATGTATAATTATTCACGAGGTCTACATCTCCAAGATCTAGAACGCGGCAGATTAGATTCTGTCTATCAATTTCATCCGATGATATAATTCGCGTGCATCGCACTGTCCCCATAGATTACCGCTCTTCGTCGCATTAACTAACAATATTCCCGCTCAACCTGTCCCATTATTAAGATTATTATTTGTCATTCGCTTCATGTGCTAATTTTGATATATTATGTCGTCTTTATTAACTCGATGAGAAGCTGCAGCCGCGTTCAGATCGTTTTGCACTTTGTGTTTTTGGGCGTACATGGTACATTTTGTTTGCAGTTTCTATTTATCACGAGTGATGATATGAATAAATGATTAAACATTTTTTCCTCTTCCTTTTGTGCATATTTTTTCTATCAATGGCAGATTCGGATCATACACAAAATCAAATATTTAATCATTTCGTGGTCTATTTAACCGAAAGATCTATTTAAATGAAAAGGTTTAATATAAAAAGTATATATATGCAAAAAATTCTCCCATATTTTCGTAAAATATTTCAATTAATTGATATTATATCATAATAAATATTGAGTTATTATAGTGATATGTAAAGTAAAATAAAAAAGCAAAATGAGCTCATAGGAAGCACTAGCATTCCAGCAGAGCTGTCGAAAATAAAAAAGGGGCAATTATGCATATGAGATCCAGTCCATACGAAGTCAATCATTATTGGACAATGGTTGGCTACACACACAGAGCTGTCGCGAATATTGCCGCCATATTACGTGCGATTATTCGCGAAGACGCATTCAAACCGTAGGAGAGAGAGAGAGAGAGGGCGAACCGGATCTCGTCCGTTAGGTCTGTCTGGCTTGTCCCGGCTGGCAAACCGAGGGCGAGATTACGACGCCATCCGCTTTTCTCCTTGCTGTCGTACTGCTTACGCTGTCGGAAACACGGGACTTCCCGCAAAGACGTCACTATCCGAACGAATATCTGCGGCATGCTCCGAAAGCCACTTCCGCCGAAATGGGACGCACGTTCGAAAGTTGGCGAGGAGCACGCTCTCATCCGGAAATGTCGCAACGTCATACAAATACGGCGTACAAATGCGTTCGCCGGTTACAACGTCCGCCGGTCTATGATGTCATAAACGTCTATTTGGACGCAATTCTCGATACAATGCTGTCGCTACGCTGTGCCAAAATTCTATTACTTTTTCTGTAGCTGACATTTACGATATGACTTGTATGACTTATATAACTTATATTTCTAAAACTAAATTCTTTCAAGATTTAATTGCATTTAAATCTTGATTTTTATCTTGCAACGGCGATAAACCTTAAGCAAAGATTTTATAGAAGGATATATCTATTCAAGGATATATCCTTGATCAGGGGATTAATTTTACACAATTATGTATTTGATTTATTTGATGACAACATTTTTATACGCAGTTTTATCGATATTTTATCAAGAAAGAAATGTCATCTCGATAATTACTTGTTATACAAACTTAATGCATGATACCTACATCATTAATTATTTTAGCCTGAATTAAGATTGTCATTCGCCGACCTGAAAACCAAATCGATCGGGTCGTATTTTGCGAAAATGACAAGCTAGCTCGCTCGCACGTAAACACAGATGCGGTACATGCATGGAGGCTTATGTCGACGCCTGCATTTATTACGTCGCGAGACACGGCGAGGCGCGGCAGCCAGAATTTCACCGTCGTTTCGAATCAGAAACTCCCCAGGTTTCGAAGCGGGCTCATAAAGAATCTAAGCGCACTCCGCTCGTCTTTCCCGCATACAGTTACCACAGATCGACTTCGACAGAGATTTGTACGTGTTATATCTCCTGTGCCAGCACTCGCGAATCTCTCCGTGGCAACTGGCCCGCGAACGATTCTCGCCATTTTTGCTTTTCGATTCCGTGATAAATTCTTGTTGGGTTTCCCCGATGTTGATCTCAATCGAGATATATAATAATTGAAGGGTAGATTAAACCAATTAATACCGATCGCGGAATACAATCGATCGATTAAACCGCGCGCGCGGCTCAGTTTCCAATTTATTTCAATTTCCGACTTTAATTCCATTTCAGAGGGCACATTTGTCTCGTGTAACACCAGCCGCTCGTTTTTCTTGCAGGTTTACGAGATGTACGTGACGGGTTATCAGTTCAAAGTGCTATCGCCTGTATTTACGGGCCACTGGGGACTACAGACCAGGAAGAGCAGGCCCGCCTGGCGCGAGCGTCAGAACAGTGCCAACAGGAAACAATTTGAGACGTTCAAGAAGGAAGTATTCGCTCGTTATATGCGAGATCCGCTGAAGATGATGAAGAACGCTAACTGACGAAAGGTCCATTGAGGGTCTCGTTGACTCTCGAGACTTCTCCGCTGTCATTTACGTTCGTCCTTATATAGACTCGACACACACATCGAAGAATCCAGAATAGAATTAGGCCTCTGGCTTTTTGTCAGCGCTCACATCATTTAACGTAGTCGATAGATTCCAAAGTGTTTCACGTGAGTCAACGAATAACTCATCCTTTATCTTCTGTTATTATTTTCAGGTGATGCATTGCGTGCAAATCTTTTCATCAACTTTATTGATTCCCATAATATTATTTATTGTACAAATTGCTTCATATTTTCTTTACCCATTTGCGGTGTAGTCTCTCATCGTAATAATCTTTGGTTGTTTATGTATGTGTGTTTACATAGAATTGATCGCCATCTTTCACGAAGGATAGTTGATTTTACCCTTCGAGCGGGAACAATGATGAAACCGTATTAAGCGACGGAATGCTTCAGTATGCTCGAGAGAGTAGATGCCAGATCGAGTAACCGCGATTCACGCTACTTATCGAACCTTCCGGTTCATCGATTCCACTAGGTGAAACCAACCGCGGAAACTCTTGTTACTTCTACTCACGATTCCCCAAAGTCATCAGAGACCGCGCCATACGGGATCGCGGAATAAATATCTTCTCGTAAGTTTCGCGGCACGTACTCGCACGAGGAGCGGGAAAACGCGGGCGGGAGATCTTAAGTGAGCGTACCTCGTTAGCTGTCTGGGGCTTAAGAGAGGGTGGCGTTTAAATCCAAAATCGATACTCCGCTTGACGCCGGCGTAGCGCCCCGAACGTAAAATAAACAAATAGCATAAACCATCACCATGCCGTATCGTTTTGATTGCATAGAAGGAATTATTGCATCATATATATACATATATATGTATATATACATATATGCATGTATGTATGTATGTATGCTCCAAATCACAATTCCTTTTATCTGGACGGAATTTTTGACCAATATCGAGTAAATCAATTTTTCTTCAACAACAAAAAATTGTAGAGCACATCGATTTTTTATAACAAGAATTTACAAACAAAAAATTTTACAAATTATAGGAAATTTTATGAATAAACTTTTAAAATGAAAAGTGACGATGAAAAATTTTTAAAAATTTATTTTAATCGAGATTTGATCAGGCTGAATGGTGTTTCACAAAGATTGAATTTGGGAGATAAATTTTGAATACCGCGTATACATATAAGCAAGGATGGCAGTATGAAGAAATAAAAAATACCGCATTATCAAATCACGAGCTCTACAAGTCAAGGGATTGACGACATTTGTGGCATCTAAGACGTAATGTACGTGTTTCATTTAATAATATGAAATTGTATCGTAAGATCGCAATGTCTTTTATTATTAATTAGCAGCGTTAGTAGCACTGTTATTTGTTTTATTTTATGAAATTGCAGGATAATTATCAGGCAAAGTGTCCCGAGATTTGTAGGTACGAGAATGTAACCTGCATTTGCTCATGTGTTATATTAAGCTCAACAGATTGCGACAACGATTGCTCAAGAATATCGCCATCGGTAATGTTTCATCCGATTAATCTTTAAATAACATACTCTCATTTTTTCTTTTAACTGACATCATGCACCTTTTTAGATCTTTTTAATTTCTTTTCTTTTTTATAAAGGAAAAATATTTTTTCGAATAAAATTTCATTTTATTATTCATCTTTAATAATGATTGCAAGAAAATGTGTAATATGTAAGCAAATATATCAGTTTTTTAGCTTATTTCTTAGAGTTATAGAGAGGAAAATTCTCGGTGCTGCTACTGTCAGTTAAAAGTTAAAACGTCAACGTTTAATTTAAGGCACAGAGTTATCTTTATATTATAATGTTTTTACTGATAAATGTAAAATATAGTTCGTAAGCGGTGTTGTGGAATGATATAAAGAATAATAAAAAATTATGAGAACTGTATATTACTGTCTTTCTGATTCTTGTAATAAGTTGTCAAGAAGTGCAGTTATTAAAAGACGAGAAAATAATATAATTATAAAGTTCTATCCTTTTGCTCCTTTTGACGTTTCACAAGAAACAATATAAAGTTTCCAAGAAGAATTAAAATAACCAATATTAATATATAAATGATATCAATATATTAATATATAAATGTTGTTGCATTTCTGTTGTTTCGCAAATTTAATTATTCGTAACATACATATTTATCTCTTACATCTTTCATTAAACATTACGACAACAGAGAAATTAATTTTTACTTAAAATTGAAACATTTTATTTCCGAAACTATACGAGACTTGCGATGTAAATTATGTTACGAAATATCGAGCACAAAATCTAGTTTTACACATGTGTTATATTTCGTCTCGAAGACAATTGCATCTCTCTCATATTATGCAGCATTGTTCCGTAAGATAACACTCGATTCTTCCCATTCATTCCCTAATCTTCCGAGAACTGTACGAATAATCCGATTAAATATTGTGCGCTATTGCGCTCTCTGTAAGCTCGAACGCGTCAATCTTTTTTTCCACAGTTATCCCGAACGATCTCGTGAACGTTCGGTAGTTAACTTGGATCGCGAATGCTGACAATGGCCGACAGTAAAAAGTATACATAGTGGGACTTCACCGGGTGTGGGATGAAAATGCTAACGATCGGGTGGTTTCAGAGCACATTCCGACGTAGCTCGATAGCGTCAGGTTGCAGCTTATAGCTACGTTTTATCGTGTTACCACGATTGCATCGCGTGTCATAGGTGTCGACTTCGAGTGCATCGGGACCTTCGAGTATACCGTAAAGAGATATCGACGGAACGTGCATGGAATATACAGAGCAGTACGAAAATACGCGAGTCATATCTTCGAAAATAGATTTTTCGAATTTGGAGTTGGTTTTTCCTCAGTACAAATATCCAGAGAAAAGAGAGAGAGAGAGAGAGAGAGAGAGAGAGAGAGAGGAAAATGTCATTATCGATTGCTATCAATATTTTATTAAAAACCTTAATTTTTTAAATTAAAATTTTTAAAATTTTTTATTACAGTTTTATCTCCAAAAATCGAGCTGAAAAGTTATTAACGATCAACGATATTTTCATTGATAAAATATTGTTTTGAATTTTTGTATCATATTAGAAACTTATTTCTAAGATATTAAAGCTTTCTTTAGAATATTTTTATATATAAATTATTCCATGATTCTTCTGATTATCATGTAATCTTTATATAAGTGCGTATTATCGGATAGTTTATCTGTTCTCGATTTCTGTAATCGCATTTGTGGAATCGTTTTGAGGCGAGGAAAGGTATACTATACTCCGCGAAATCTTTCCTCTCTACAGTTTTTCGCGCATCGGAAAACACGATAGAAGTTTTCGTAGCTTACGTCAATGCACTCGATGACGTAACTTCACGTTTAAGCCCGAGATATAAACCGTTTTCCCGGCTTTTCCCGCGATCGTTTCGGTTTAGTAAAGTTTGTTTACGACCATCGTGTCTCGTTATGCAAGATCGGAAAGGATGCGCGCGAGAAACCGTAGTCGTTGCCGTCGATGTTGCTGTTATAGTCGTTATCGCTTCTGGTTGGACCAGCATATAGATACGTTATTCTGGTTGTGTTGTAAAGGATTACCGCGTGCGAGAGAGCGCAAGTCCTTAAAGGAAAAAAATGTGCATTTACTTACGTCGCAGTGCATCAAACACGTAACGAAGAAAAAGATTCTATCATGTACCACGTAGTTTTCATTAACTTGATATTCCCATCAAATTTTAAATATATAGCATAATGAAGTGATGATTTATCGTTATTTTGTTATTGTAATTTCAAATTAATTGCTCCTATCAATTAACAATAAAATTGATATTAAAGATGAGGGATAAATGAAAGCTGATTCAATATTATGTTAGCAACATCACTTCTAAAATACTAAATTTATAGGAAATTATAAATGCAATATGTCAAAATTAATTGTATATATATATATATATATATATACACAAGTTAAAAAAATAACCTTACCAAAACGAAGGTAAATTGCATCATTTCTAAATAATAAATTAACGAAATTTTGAATTAATATTTTACTTTATAATTACTTTATCATCGTTCAATCTGCCTTCTTCCTTTTTCTCTTTTGTTGGTCTTTTACTGTTCTTTTGTGGCATTTATCATGAAAATACTGTTAATTACAATCGCGTGTATATTAACCGGAATAAACGAATTGCTCAATTCTTTACATAACACTGAACATTAATCGCATACGACACGTACTTTCTTTTATTCTATTGTAACGGGAGAAGGCGAAAAACATGGTTACATAAAGCTATGGTTTGTTCGGCAATGGAAAATTGCAAATTCATACACAATATTTGTGTTTACTAACAAATAAACACATTTATACGTATGATTTATTTATTTATATATTAAATAATACCTTATTCAAGCACAAGTTTTGTGAAAATACAAGTTTCAGAAAATATTTGCGTAAATGCGATAATAAGATTATCACATGTAAACAATAGTGCGTTAAATATTCGACAAAAGTTCCATGTGTGTTATGTTATGTTCCATGTGTGTTATAAAGCCGAATAATTGTCGTATTCTAGTTTAAATTGATTAATATTATAGTTTTGTTATACATTTTATTTATTATATTATTTATTATTTATAAAATTAAATGTCAAATTTATTTTTGCGGCAACATAATTTACTCTTGCAGTGATATAAACAAAATATTTTCAATTAATTTTTAAATTCCGATAACAATTAATTTTTAATTAATTCTAAAATCAATTTGATATCAAATGTCAATTTCTCGTTAACTCCTTGTTTATAATCACTTTATTCTTTTAAAGTCGTAAATATATTCCACGTTTCTATAATAATTTAATATTTTTTTACATATTTTTATATAATTAATTTTGGAATATTTTGTCTTATAATTCAATATACATATTTTTCCGAAATAGGATAGATGCTAGCGTATATTGTTAAATCAGTATATTTATTTTTCAATCAATTTTCTATTAATTAATGCAAGTAATAAATTTGAACTTAGCATAACAAATTAGCGCATAAGTGCATATGTACATGTGTGTGAATTTGATTTTTCTCATAAAAGTATCAGATTAACGAAAGCTATCATCGTACATATCCTGGCGTATACTTTGCCACTTGTGAGTATCGTTAATCCTGGAGCGAATTTCTTGAAAGAGCACGCGTCGTACCACGGTTTAAGTATAATATATTCCGGCGTGAATGTTAAAGCTCGTTGTATATTCAACATCGTATATACAGGTTTATGCCGTTGCTCATTAATAATCATAAGAACGCAGGAGCGCACTTCTAATTGCGTGATATATCACGTGATTAGAATTTAACGAATATTCTAGTTTGGCATGATAAAAAGAAGAAGGAATCATCGACTTTTTCTCAAAATGGAAAGCAATAAAAAATAAGATTAATTACATATTTCTTAAAATTGAAGTATTTGCACGTCTTGTTAAAATTTTATTTTATTGTGATATAACCATTTGTCGAAATAAGAAAACCTTTTTGATTATTGCCATGTTAATGTGCGAACATATAGTCTTGTGTGATTTTTTATGCTTTTTTGTATATTTGCGTTTAAAAGACATTTCCTTTTCGTGCGCATATTCATATTGCAACTTGGTCAGTATAATTTTACTCGTCTAAACGGTAATGGCCTCCTACACTTTCCACATCGCCGACTCATTTCGAGAATGATTTAATTTTCTACACGTTGCCGGTTATTTAGCTAGTCCTCGGCCAGTTTGTACGGAGCAAAAAGAAGATGTAGGATGATGTGTGCGTATAAAAGGGATATGCTGCAGGGCACAAAAGACACACAGGCGGGGTAGAAAATAGATAGCGTGTGTGCTAAGTACCATGTAGGTGTACGCATCTATACATCTGTCCGCGATATATATATATATATATATATATATATATATATATATCCGTACCTGACTAAATTATTAGATTCGCCCTTGCGACTCCTCGTCTCGTTTTTTTTTGTCCGCAGTCGAGATCCGGACGGTAACTCTTTCTTTTCCTCGAGCCGCCATTTCCCTCTTATCCCCGTCTGAA